GGGCATAGTTTTGGCCAAAAGATCGATGTAACTGAATGTTGTTCTTCAAGTCGAAAACTGACTTTGTACTAGAGTCATCCGCAAAAATAAGACCGGGGAAAATTCAAGATGGATAACCAGTAGTCATGTCTACCTAACGCTGATTTTATCCATATACGTACTTCTTCATTTAATTTGTTACGTATACAAACACATGTCTGAACTCGATGAAAAATAAAGACGAAATGATCACCATCAGTTAATCTGCGATTTGTAGCGTGATCACTCTCATGTATTTCTTGTAGCATTATGCAAAGAGGTTTGTCAGATTCAAACAAAAAACTTTCTACTGCTATGGAAATCGATGACACGTGTTAAAATATTAAAAGAAGTGAAACGTCTTGTATAAACACAACAGAAAACTATTTAATATGTATCGATTCTTCGAGATACATCCCTTCAAAGTATGTTGAAATTAAGCATGCAACAGTTTTTTTTGGTGTTTTTCAAAAAATACGAAAAAAACTGTTGTATGCCTAGTTGAAAGATATCCTGTTTTTATATATGATCAAAACTGGAGAAATTACTAGTTCTAATGATGTAAAAATGAACTGGATAGCATACGTGACAGAGCTGGAACCGTTTCAAAAAAATTCAATCAAATCGGATAATGACGTGATCCATAGGCGTAACTACGGGGGAGGCCAGTGGGCCATGGCCCAATACAATCTGAGCATTGGCCCAATACGAAATTGTTTTTGAGTGTTCAGCCCAAAGCTCTTCCTTCATCTACCAATCCTGGATAAAGTTTATGACATGAAAGCAAAATAATGTGCTGCCAATTGAAAGATATACCATGATTTTTGTTTCCCTTCTTTTTGGCGTTGTTGGATAGAGCTCAACGACTTAGATAGGACAAAACCAATTTTTCGTTTAAGATTCACCGTCATTTCTCGGCAACAGAACAAAATTTTCCAAAAAAGATAAAACGTACAAACAGTACCGATAACTGTTTCCCCATAATATGTGGGCAGTGTACTAGTATAATATGCTGGATATCTTGTTTTACAATAACTCTGATTTGGTAAGCGACTATATATCTGGTGACCGACGATCCGGTAACACGGTACGAGCCAACGAGCACGGTATTTTTTTGGACAAGTATCACGCTCAGAATGAAGAAAACGAAAGACTTTTATCTCAAAAATCGTACGACTAGATAGGTTCTTAAAATTTACCGGCAGCCCCTTTACCATTATGCTCGTACTTCGTAGATTCTGAGTCCATTTTAAAATGACGTTGAAAAATCTTAAACTGCCATGATAACGAGTAACACCGAAAATGACGGTATCAGAACTGGCAACAGTCGAAAAGATTTCTCGCCCAAGCAGGCACCGCTAGGCCCACCAATTTGTTCGACTCTACGGAACACGGCCCAGCAGTCTAAAAATCCTGGTTACGCCATTGACGTGATCGTTAGACAAAATAGAGCAAAGTGAAAGAAAATATAATTAATTAGACTATATATATATACATATACATGAGATCCCTGGAGATCGATTCTTATATAAGAATCTTATCAGAAATTTCCAGGTCTCTTATCAATTTCTTATAACTTTCTTATAAGAGTCTTACTAGTTTCTTATATAAGATTGTTTAAGACTTCCTAATGAGAGTGGTAAGTGTCTTATAAGACTTCGAAAAGTTTTCTTAAGGGGCTTATAAAAAAACATAAGAAACTGCTCGAGTCGAATGCCAGGTTCTTGGTACTCATATCGACCTGTTGGGACTCCATGGGACTGCTGGAGTCCACGAGTCTGCTGTTTCCCTCTTGTAAAAAGTGTTTATGAGTGAGTAGTGGAGGGAGTAAGCATTACGAGAATGAGTTTAAAGAACAGTTTCATGCTAACAGTGGTCGCATTTTTGGCTCAGATAGTAGTTTGTAGACTAATAATCTACATGTGTTCAGTTGTCTAAATAGCAAAACTAATTCTACATTCTAAAGTTTAGTAGCTCTGCATGTAAGTCGTGTTCATAGAGTAGGAACGTAGTTGTAAATGTTGGAGAGGGACTTAAACATGCATTTTGTTTCTTTTTTATCACTATTATCAATTTCGATTTTACTGCTCTTTTTTATAAAAAAAAGTTAAAGCAACGTAAATGCAAACAAGCATCGTGCATGTCTCACGTTTTTATTTGTCAAAGAAACTAATCTTTCCTTGTGTGCTCAAGACACTTTTCTTATCACTTATCGTGTTTTCAGAAACTACGTGGAATTTGATTGCTGCTACTGCCAGTCACAATTCACCGAAAGAACGAGAAAGATCACTATTATAAAATAGAATAAATGATAACTTTTCTGTTTTGTCACATTTCATCGTCTGTCACACCAGATCAAAATAATATGCCTCAGTTTGATTTACCTTCTTTTTAAGGCTCTCCGCTCAGGCTATCAAAAAATAGCAATTTGGATCAAAATACCGATTTTGCGACTTATACTTAGTTAAATAGCTCTAATTGTCTACTTTCGAATGAACTATGATTCGTAAGTTTTGTGATGGTTTCTGAGGGTTTTACAGAAGTTTTTCTGAAACCCTGAAAATTAGGAAAACATGATTTTTTTAAAAAATTTCAGTTATTGAAGTCCTTCGAGCTTCTCCATAGGTTTGCAATAAGGCCATTAATTACCATTTCACGTCACGGCCACTTGGGGGTCTTAAAACAGTGTCACTTAGCTGTGAATTATTTTAAGATCTTATGTTAGCTCTTGGTAAAATCTATAAATAAACTTTTAAATGCCTCTTAATTGACATTTTTTACGCCTTAGGAAAAAACGACTTAAAAACGGCCTATTTATAACCAGCATTTTGGTGAAAATTCGATTGCCCAAAACATCATTTTAAGGTCATTTTTAGACTTTTATACAAATGGCCTATTTAAGGCCTTAAAATGAGATCATTAAAATGACCAAAAAATGACTTAAAAGGAGTCGGCAAAGTCTAAAAACGGCCTTTTAAAAGCCATTTAATTGTCATTTAAATGGTAACTAATGGCTTATTATACACACTGTTTTCGATCTCCTGGGTATCGCTAACTATTCCAGTTGCATTGCGCAACACTGTCTCACCCTTCCACTTCTCATTGGGTACTACTGCAAATCAAGCACATCTTTATATTTATCAGGTCGCATGTAGAAGAAAAGATGAATGGTTAATAAGTTTATTGGCATTGCTGGAATTTAGAAAAGTTGAATAAATAAGAACTACCGGGCTGTCAGCGATATACAATTAGGATAAGCTTTCTTTTCTAATATTTTTTGTGACTTAAAACAAAGCTATTTGTGAGTGCATACACTAGAATGCACTTATGCAGTTGAACTTTTCTTGACAAATAGTAGGAGCTTACCATAGCAACGGAAAAGTAATGGCGGTGTACAACTATTGCGCGTATATATTTCCTTTTCTTTTCTTGGCGCTTTTATGAGCCACTTAAGTTTTATAGTGACCATTTATGTTTTCTGGAAATAAAACGAATAAAACAGACGATGAATGAAGCAAAGCATGTTTTAATGTGTCTTTGTCGTGAGATACATCAGATAAAATATTTCTGTTAGTGCAATTGGAATTATTGTGATAAGTCTTATAGTGAAGAGAAAGGGTTACTGTGAGAAAAGTGAAGATAATCTGCTGTGTCTGAAACTGACTAATGCACAGGTAACTTTTTGAACATTCTACAATTTTTGGAACTTATCCGTTATTCCTCTGTTTTTACAAAATAAAAACTACAAAACATAACAAAGTAATGTGACACATAGCAACAAAAACTACAAAATATGTCGAAAAGGTAATTTTTTTACATAAAACTGATATAAAAACTAAGCGATTTTTCGTACTCAATTAATTTTAATTGGATAATTGTCATTTGATAGCAAATTAATATTTTGATCCTAAGAACAAGGAAACGAAAAAATCCTTGATAGTGAAGAGATATGCGAAAGTCACTTCAGTATTGTCTATTTTAAGAGATATTGCATGGTTCAAACTTCTTGACACTCAGTAGCATTTTTATTATATGTTCGTTTCTGTTACGGGAAAAAAAGACATTAGCTTTTCGATATTTCCTGATGGTTTCACTTTGATTTATATACGTATCTTGTATGAAATTCTTGTTGTTTTTTCATGTGGCTCAATAGCTAAATATGTGTAACTTCTGCATTTGCCTTCATCAAACTTCAAAGTCAGCCAGCTATATGTTTCTATGCAGATGTATTCGAATATGAATATGTATTGAATATTGGATCACAAGCGATGATCTAATTCTATGTTGCATGAATACGAAATCTTGCTTGTTTAGATTTTTTAAATCTTTTCTACAAGTATCATATCAGGTGCTATGCTGCAGTAAAAAGGAGTTCGACAAATTTTGGATAATGAATGGTTTGTGATATTCTAACTATTTAAGGTGTTAATGGCAAGTCAACCAAGTTAATTCCAGTATTTATTCCCAACGCTGCGATAATGTCTCCTATTAAATGCTTGCCAAAGTTATAGATGTTAACCTAACAACTATAACCCCGCTTCACTAGTCTAGGAACTGCTACATGAAGAGATAAGCCATGCCTAAATATATCGAAAACGATAACATGTAATAAGTCCACTAATGTGTAACTGTCGATTCTTATTCATTATTTTGCAGTACACATAAAAGCGGAAGTCGCATGTTGTTTTTTAGATGGCACTAAAGCCAAGAGGTCGTAAACAGCGACAATTTCCCTTTACACGTCAGTGTATTTTATGCAGCAAGTCAAACGGAACTGGAAAGGATTACAGAATATTTAATGATGATGCGCACGCAAAAAAATTCCGAGAAAAAAATGGAGCCTTTGCTTCCTAATTTGAAAAATCGTTTGTCATTAATTGGGGCTAATTACCATCATAATTGTTATCGTAAATTTACTTATAGAAGAATTAAAGGTGTACTGTGCGATTTCTGTTGAATTCCCCTTTCCCCTTTTCGACCTGATGAAATACTTCTACTTGCTAACAGCAATTAAAGATCAACAACAACAATCAACTCAATTACAACAAGCTACGTCTGGCGCTTCTTTAGCAAGTGGTTTAATGCAGGTTTTCGTTGACCAACCTGATCGCCCAACGGATGATGGTAAAAATATCTGAAAGTTGTTTATAAATGCTTATTTTCTCTTACTGTCCCGTTTAGATGGTGACAATGATTATTACGCAAACGCGCTCAATATTACAGATTTCGAATATCGATACCAATCAGGTACAATTCTTTTTATCTTTTAAGGTACAAAATTCTTTCACTTAAAAAGGACAACGGTTATTCATCTCAGAAGGCGGAAGCATCATGTCTACGCTCACAACTAGAGTCAATCATACATGACTCCACAGACACACTTGTATATTTGATATATTTTCATAAAGCAGATCACAACTGATAACAATTCTTCATAATCCATTAAGTTCCTTTCGAAAGCAGGTTGGCTAATCATCTGTGTTTGATCTTTATTAATTCTTGTAAACTACCTCGTTTACTTTCTCAGTAGACAATCTAAATCATACAGTATATTCATTTTCCACTCGAGCATACAACATATACACTCTATACCTTGATGTGTTGATTGTGTATCAGGAGTAATATTGTAAAATAGTTCTAAAGAGAAAAAAACCAAAACACAAAGAATCATGTTATTAACAGATACAAAAGAAATACTTATCTGATCACTAATAACCAAATAAAAGATGGTTAACCATACGCGAAACTAAATCATAAAAAGAAAATATGCATAAATATGCATAGACTAAAACTATTTTTAGAGGAACCTGTATACACAACAGATCCTGTTCAATATGATTTCTCCTCAACATCAACAATAATAACTTCAAATTTACAAGCTCGCGCACGCATGAATAAAATGCGTAAGTATTGACAAACTAGGATAAACAAACGAATTTATTTTCGAATATATTTTAGCACAAACTTCTTCATTACCTAGCGAAATAGAATTTATCTCATCTAAGCACACTGGAGTTGGTAAGTAACTTACTTTTACAAGATCTCTATGAAAACCACTGCTGAAAGAGACAAGCGCAGGACCTTAGGATTATATGTCCATAAACCTATGTGCTTAATTCTTTTTAATTATATATAACTGTTTTCAGTGTCTGTGAAAATTTAATCGAGTTATGCTCGAATTTAAGGATTGCAGACGTCAAACAAGACTTTTTTGAGTCAATCCAAACATGTGTTACATCATCGTTGGACATTTTATACGATATTATGCACCGTGACAAAGTTAATGATCGTGACTGTTCAATACTTACAACAAATATGGACACACGAAGTATAGAAGACTCACTTGTACAATCCTCAGTTGAGATCCCAGTGAAGGCTGTTGTCAACAATCCATATTTATTTGACGATAAAAATGACGAGTTTTACAATGAACCTCAATTATTCAGATCTAATCCTAATACAATCAGCGAAGCCACTCTTGGTGCAAGTACACATGATGTCTTTGCTCGGTTATTGGAATGGTTGATGATTACATTATCTGATGAAAATATAGTTCGAGTAACGCATGCTGACGATAAATTACAACATTTTGGATAATGTTAACACATTATCGAATATTCTTAAGTCGCTAAAATCGTTGATACTTTAAGTGTAGTTTACTCGAGCAAACGTTCAAGCAATTATATACTTTTAAAAGATTTTGGCATATATTTAAAGCTTATACTTCAGAATTTACTAGACGATAGTGGTGTTGTCAGCATTGTTGAACTACCCCGGTCACTATATTGTCTCAGCAACAACAACAGAGTAACATGGAAAATAATCTTCTAATAAAAACATCAACTCTAATTCGTGTTGAATAATTAGACAGTACACTTTTCCACTTATCACGCAATCCTTAAGTACAGAATTTGAACATTATGCTAAAATATTTTTCAATAAAATGCACCTTAGATTTACTAGGATGATATCACCGTTGAACACACGAAAAAATCATAATTTTTGCTTGTAATTGGGTAACTCAATCAGTTCTGGAAGAAGGTTTTAAGCTCTTTTTTATTATCATGGCTTTCCGGCTTTCTCTTCGGGTCATGATAATCAGACATAATATGTGTTCAAACTTTAGTTATTCAGTGGATGACCACATTAATTTTCTGTAGAAAATGAAATAAAGTAGAAATGAAACATGAAAATAAGATTAAAGTAGTAGGTACAGCATAGCTCCTATATATGTATATAGGACGTTATTTGGCTCTAAGGAACAAAATAAGGAAAAGTAGATTTTTTATTTTTATGACGTGTTCGTTCACTGACACACTCGTATACACACAACACCGAAGTGAGAGTGCCTCGGGATGAACTAGATCCTAATAACAGTGTGAATCCCGGTAAACCGTACTAGATTCTAGTAGAGAGTAATAAATCACATAACAGGAATTGCAATAGAAATTTTCACACAAATATCTATTGAAATTCTTATTCTGCGAACGACGCTTCCGCGAACCGACCCTTACGCGAATTTTTTCTAATAGAAATTTAGGTATTTCGAGCAGTGTGTGAGTGGGAGGAAGGGCAGTGTGAGACTGAGTTCGAAAAGTGTTTTCACATAAAAGATATTTTCATTCCATAGTGGAAATTTGCTTCAGCTTTCCAGCTACTTATCTTGTTTGTCAATATTTCAGGTTGAAGCTAATTTAAAATTTTTTTAATACCTACGCTCAGTAGTACCCGTTGTTTTGTTAGTTTGTTTGACATCTGTTTACGAAAACTCGCAGAAGGATCGGGGTTCGATTCGCGGAAGATTCGGGGTCGTGTTTTCCGAAGAGCCGATTCTGATGATTATGGCCATCACGCCGATTATGGGCATTATGCCCATTGCGGCCATTATGCGGATATGGCCGTCATGGTTATTACGGCTCTCTTCTGAATATTTTGGTAATTCATAGGAACCATCGAATCCGTATCCGAGGGTACCTGTTCTGTTCTTCTTTCTCTCTCTAACTCTTTGTATACATATACAGATAAAAGAACTTATAGAAATTTCCGAACTTTTCATATTCTAATTTTGGTAATTACCGAAATTTCTTTCGGAGACATTTACGTTGATGATTGAAAATTTCAGAAATTTTGGAAATCTCCTTTTTTGGAAAGCTGCACATACCTCAATTTGGTATATGACTATTTTCGAAGTTAGACATGAATATTTCAGCAAATATCGTAGCCAACGGTGATCCCATTGACACACCTCCGCACTGTTCATAATATTTATTGTTAAAAATAATGTGCGTGCCAGTGGTAGCATATTGTAACAATTTACGAAAATATACTTCAGGTATACATGGTTTTAGTTTCGGATCTGTATAATATAGGTTTTCACAGATGATAACAAATATCTCTTCAACAGGTATGTTTGTGAATAAACTTTCAATATCAAAACTTATTATTTATACTTTAGATAAGGACATTTTATACATAGATAATTGTGGATTCGCTTTCAAAAAGGTTAGAAATTTATCCGTATTTTTTAATTAAAATTCGCTGTCACGTAGTGGATTGATTATACGTGTTAAAAGTTTTCCTAGTTTATAATTGTATCGACGAAATTGCTCGACGAAAATGCAGTATATTGAAATTCTCTATATTGGTAAACCTAGTATTGAACTATCTTAAAAAGGATATAGCAATAAACGTAATTTAGATTTAAGAGTAATCTATCAAACGCCAAATACAATAAAATGCATTTTTCCAAATAAAGACCAGTTAGTCTTTATTTTTGAAAGTTTGAGTCTATTGCAATGTTTTTGCCTCCCTAGTAAAATGATTCATACAGATATGAAAGTGGTCGACAAAGCATTATTCTTTTATAGTATTTTTCCAGCATTTTCCATAAACCTTAGCCTTTGATTTATTCACACCACAGTCTTAAGCGAAATCCATCAAAATCAATACTAAAGTTACTGAAGAGCGTGTTTGTTTTTAACCAATATTCAATTTCTTCTTTCCAAAGTTTTACTGAGTAAATGCGGATAGCAACATAACTTATGTTGCTAAGATTAACCAATAACGGTAAGATTGTATAAAGTTCGTAGTCTTCGTCAATCTCTACCGTTAAATGTTCAAGTTGTGGAAACGATATAGATAATTTTTCGATTGTGTTCGTCTCAAGGAAACCATCAACCAGATTGAAGGTTTTGATATTAATAAATAACCAGTTAATTTTATCTAGTATGTTCTTAAAATAGCCGAACAGAAATTCAAGTTCAATTATGTTTTTTGCACATTTCAATACATCCACCATTAGATCATAATTGTTACAAAAATATCTTAACTTTCTTAGATTTTCCCACACGATGATTTTTCCAATATCAGAAACGAATGGTAACGAAGGAAACGGCATGAAAAGTTCCCCATTATCATCTTCATTTAGCAATACTAGAGAAGAAACATTTGGATATATTCGCTGTGTATTCAAATCTCTTGTTGTTGAAAACTTTATAAATAACTCTTTCACTTTGTCATAAATCATTATCGATGATGAAGTGGTTTTATAAATATTTATAAGAGGCTCAATAGCTGCATTATTGTAAGGCATTGAATAGAGTTCTAATGTTGCTCGATTACTGGGACAATAATCACAAACAAAATACAACTTTCGCTGTGACCAAAATTGTGTTTGAAATTTTTCAGTTATTTCTGAAATATTGATATGAGATGGAACAGGATACATAAATGCAAATAATAAATTAAATTGGAATAAGAAGGGAAAACATGTTGTTATGAGATTTTCCCACAGTTCCCCATCCGTAAATGATAAATCACACGCTAAATAGAGTGCAAAGCAGGTGCGATACTATAATGAAGATGCATAGACGAAACTATTACCTGTGCAAGATAAATATTTAACATTTAGTAGTTTCTCACAAAATAATTGAACGGAGGGAAGCGGATAAGGCGGTTTTGTGGCCTCAATTTTTTTCGAATAAAAATTACATGGTTGAAATCAGCATCAAATTCTGAACAAAACTGTCGCTTCAGATTTTCAAAAAACTCACTTTCGTTTTTTTCAAAAATTTTAAGGCTGAGGTCCCCCTTTGCAACATCGAAAATTTTTTTTCTTGAAAGTGGTTACGTGACACATCACTAGACGCAGAATTTAACGCTAATAACGAATATGAGGTCAAAATCTGGGA